GGTCACAATTCATAATAATGTGCGTCATCAAGAAACGGGCATATTTTTTCAACGCTAAGTAAGTACGTGAGAATAATTTCACCTTTAAATATTTAAATGTCTAACATTCCTTGGCTTTCAATTTACTAAAAAAAAAAAACAACGGATTAATTATTACTACCCGTGCGGTTAAAGAATGAGATTGAAAATGGCGTCGCTTCTATTCACCTCTCGCTCGCACACTGTCGCCTTCTATACTCACACCCGCCGGTAAAGACTGCAAAAAAATACGTTCTTCGGTACGTTCTATAACTTCAGTACAAATTGTGATTGGAATCAATGATAATCATCTACGTGGTAGAGCCATGCTGCAGCTATATTATGGTTGTAGCACGAATGGGTCGGCTCGACCGGGGAAGGACCACGCTCTCACAGAAAACCAGCGTAAAATAGCAGCTCAACGCTGCTGTGTTTCGTATGGTGAGTGTAGAGAACCGGCGACTCTTTTTACTGGCAAAGAGGCGTTCCATCTTAGTCCTCACGGGTGACAACGCATCTGCATCTTGAGTCTTTATTGAGGATAGATGTAGATGTCTATGGGTCACAGTAACCACTTACCATCAGGTGGACTGTGTGCTCGTTTGTCACCCGATCCTATAAAAAAATAACAAATTCTCATAAACTACAAATAAGAATTCAGTCCGGTTTCGCTTAATTATCTGTAGAGACTAAACGATAAATTCATGCGACACGGATTCAATCAGTCAATTATCATTTAAATGCATGTAACATTAATTTATTATTTGATTCAAATTTCTAACAATAACATTTCCGAACGGAAGCAATAACAGTTACAGTGTAAGTTCTTTAAAAAATAAATAAACGTGCTTTTATTTCCTGTTGCGCGAACGTTGGTTAAGTAGGTAGGTAGCGGCGATTTGCTCGAAAAAATCTGGCAGGGCTGGTGACAACACGTCACCGGAATTTTTTTAAACGTAAAATATAAAATGTTAATAATCAATAGTTCTTTTTTTACATTTTATACATATACATAAACACTCACGCCTGTCACCCAGAGGGGTAGGCAGAGACTACGGACTTCCCTTTGGCGCGATCCTGACACACCTCTCTCGCCTCTTTTACATCCATATATCTACGCATACACGCTCGTCGGTTAAGGGTACTCCTAATCTGGCCCAATCTTTTTATATGAGTTTGACAGCTCCGTGGCACAGTGGCTTAGCAATGAGTTGTTGCGCTGGGGGCCGCGGGTTCGAATCCCGCACGAAACAAGTATTTGTATGGCCTACAAATAATTGTTCCGGGTCTGGATGTTTGTCCTTGTGCAATTAATGTTTGTAAACTGCCTCCACGACACAGGAGAAAATCCTAGTGTGGGGGTAACGTTTTGGACATATTATAGAAAAAAAAAGTTTCAAATTAAATTTACAATGTTGATAGATGGCCATACAAAAGGCATTTTGATGAAAATACTTTACTTTAATAAACTAATAACAATCCGAAATAAAACCGCCACCTCTACCGTCGAGTAATCCCCGAAAAGCTGGACCGAGCTTATCCCGCGCGGAAAATTTAATTTTGTGCTATTAACTGGGTCGTCCCGGTAAAATCGGGACGTGTGGCAACACTGCATATTTTCAAACGGCGTTTGATTCCATAGGACTCTTTTGACTGTGAAGCAATTAAAAGCCTAAAATTTTCAAAGCCTTAAAAATGTATGTTACCGTAATGAAGTAACAGCTACCTGCCTACTGGCCGGCAGACTTCACTGCATATTGGCGCAATGACTTCTTTAAAATATCTTTTGATATTTCTACGTCATGCAAAATTTATTACTACATAAAATATAAAAAAAAAACCTATATCATTGGAATTGACCTGAACAGTCTGGCCATAAGTTTCCAATATTTTTTCTTCGAACTTTAAAAGCGATGTTTAACTTTAACTTATAAAACGGATTGCTTTTAAAGTTATTTATTATACGGTTTCCCTCTTTAACTAACAAGTTTAATTGTACCAATGGCGTTAAAGCTTGGGTTGCCTAAATCAGATGAGTGTCTTTAGCTTCTGAGCAATAATAGCTCTAACACTTTCGCTATCTATACAAATAAATAAAATTGAAGTGTCTGTTTGTAATTTGAAAATAACAGCTTTTTACTAAATGCATATGAAAGTATATACAGCAAAAAACGATTTTTAAAATTTTTGTCTGTCTGTCTGTTTGTTTGTTATGGCTAATGTTCGAAATGGCTGGACCGATTTTGACCGGACTTTCATTGACAGATAGTTGATGTTATAAGGAGTAACTTTTATTACTATTTTTATTTTAGAAAAAGAATTAGGTTTTTTTTATGAGTGGGTGGGATTGGACTTCATGGGTTTTAAAGAAATTTAATAAACCCATGAAATCTAATAATAAAAATTCCACGCGGACGAAGTCGCGGGGAACAGCTAGAAAATACTTAATTCTACTTAATTCAGGTAACTGACGATAAAAACCTCTTCAAGATCCATCAAAACTCACATGTAATTACAGGTGTAAAGGAAATGGAAAAGATTCTTTCGGTGCGAATATGTTGTGTGAGAGGCCTCCTTCACTTCGATACGTTAGACGCGTTCGGCTCGGATAGGTGTGTTCACTTTAAGGCCGCGTTTTCACCACATGCACCTGAAATTGTATAAAGAGCGCGTGTGCGGGGTGAGCGCGGGTTCAGCGCGGAGCGGGAACGAGGCGGGCTCATGGTGTGGGCGAGGCGTGTGCGGTTGAACGTCGATAAATGCAACTTCAGATTTATTGATTTGTCATAAGACTCAAATTATATAGAACAAATTTAAAAGAGAGTTAGACGCGGGTGCTGACGCGCGTGGCGTGCGCGTAGCGGATGCGTGTCGTCGGAACGCGCCCTTACTATGAATTTATTAACTTACTTTACATAATATATATGCGTTACTTTGACTAGTAAGCTGGTGGATATGTATTTAAAATAGTTTGTCTTGGTTAAATATACAACCCTATTTAAATTAGAATTGTAATATTTATTTATAGGTATAATAAGGCAAAGCCAAACATAATAGAAAATATTACAGAAAAATCAATTTTTGAAATAGCAAGAAACATTTAAACTAGACTTGCTTTAACCTAAAAATTCAGTCATATAATTTTAAGAATGCGATTTTAATAAGGAGAAAATAAAATGTAGATGATTTTGATTGCACAAAGAAAATATTTTATTTTAGTAAATATCAACAAGAGGGTAATTAATAAAAATTCAAACTTGAAAAAAATTGATAACGAAATGAATTTTGCTGATTATATCTAATTTTTTTTTCAAATATTCGAAGCCAAAGAACATTATTGTTAAGCAGCTGAAAAAATTAATATTAATATTTACATCAACATTAATTATGCTAAATATTAATATTGCAAAAGTCATAAGTCAGTGTCAAAATTTTGTATCTATTTATACATACACATATGAAAAAATATATTCTATGAATACCGCAATTTTAGGTCATACTTTAAAAACTGCGCAATTTTATATGAAAATATAGGTATTATTATACAAGTATTTATTTACAAAGCCTTTGAAGCAATTCAAAAATTATTGAGTAGAAATAGAATACTGATTAGGATATATTAAAACAATAAAATAAAAGTGATTGTATTCATTAGTCTATTTATATCATAAAGAAATAAATTGAAATAAATACATCATTCAAATGTCCTCGTTAATTTATAAAAAAAAACAATATTTAACCTATGTAATACTATCACACAAAACAAATGACAAGTGCTACTTTGTAAAAATATTGCATTAACGAGTTTGACAACATTGACATTAAAGCATTTTATAATCTGTGCCAAACTAAATAACACAAAGTAAATCTAATTGAAATATTTATATTACAATATTATACAGTCACTGTAATTAAAAAGTGAATATTATACAATACGGATATTACAATGTCATAAGGTATCCCTAATTACAGAGTAAGTTTAAATTATTGTTGAGTTCTCACTTGTCACAATGACTATGTGTATGAAGTAGTACCCGTTACTATTACCTACTTATAATTAAAAATCACGTTTATAATTCATTTCTATGTCATAAGTGTGTATACAAATCACGAAATATTAACATGCTGTATACAATTATATCAAATATTGTAATGGGTTTTATTTTTGAGGCAAATTATTTAAAAACAGAAATTGTAGGCACGTAGCAGCGTGAATAGGAACGGTCATCGTTATTGCTTTATGTAAAGAGTTTGTCGATATTGTCTGATGGCGTCGAAATTATTTCCTTAAAAATAATCTGTACATCTATAAAACCTTGTCTTTGACGATTAAATAAAAGTATGACGAATTTAATTTTATTAATTACCAATAATATATTTCGAAATTTTAAAAAATCGATATTACTATTCATGTAACATTGACTTTATTATAGTAGTGATACGTCCACTTCAGTGGTCAATATTTATGCATGTTATTTACATTGAACGTTACTTTAAGTTTATGTATATCCAGTAAAAGTAATACACCTTTTTAAAAATATTGGAGTATAGTGATAAATCGATATGAATCGGCTATTATCAACTGACAGTTATATTGCATATTTAAATGTGAGCAGGTATAGTAAGATCATTGCAATGCATGATATTATAAGTCATTATAAAGTATTTTATACAAATGTAATAAACAACTGTGCATTCCAAGGATTCCTACCAAAAATTTAAACATACTATACAGGTTGTGATCACGTCTGAAACACGTTATAATAAAGTTTATACATGCAAATTGTTTTTATTTAATTAATTGCGGAATTCCATCATATTATTAAAGACGTTAAAAAACAAATATTTTCTTTAAACTAGTAACTTTTTACGTAGATCTTATCCAGTTAATTATCAACATCTTTAATATTTGCTTTTATTTGACCTTCGTACAATTTACAACACGGTTTTTGGTGTTTGGTTACTATTCATTATTATAGAAGCTAACATTTGTTTTGAACTTTCGTTCCGAATTCGTGTAATATATCACACGCCATCTCCAAGTCGTTCCTAGTTATTCCTAATGCTCTAACTACTATGTCCTTGGGATAACCTTCACCTACTAATCGAGCAATGTAGTCCAAATTGATATTTTCGTAGGATACGTTATCGCCGTACTTCCTTCCGTGTTTGTCGTGGGTGAGCGGGTTTATTTTCTTTGCTGTGAAAAAAAAACATATTTCATTATCTTATTTCATTTATATTTTATACGTTGTGGAGCCATGCTATATGATTGTAGCACGATTGGGTCGATTCGACCGAGGAAGGACCACGCTCTCACAAACTACCATCGTCAAATAGCAGTTCATTGCTGCTGTGTTTCGCATGGTGAGTACAGAAAACAAGAAACCTTTTTACTTGAATATTATTACTTTTTACTTGGTATTCCATCTTAATCCTCTGCAGTGACAGTGCATCTGCATTTGGATTCTTAATTGAGGATAGTAGAGCCATGCTGCAGCTAAATTATGGTTGTAGCATGAATGGGTCGGATCGACTCGACTGAGGAAGCAGCACACTCTCACAGAACACTAGCGTAAAATAGCATCAAGCCCGCTTTTCACTATGGGATATAATATAATATATATTACATCTCGAGATATAAATTAATATCGCTCACCATACATTTCCTATGGAACCGTTTACACTGAGCTATAATATATATTACATCTCAAGCTATAAATATTTTTTCGATCGACCGAGCGATGTTTTCATATTATATTTCGCCCCCTGTACCCCGCACACCGTTCCGCGACCCCGCAAACGGTGTGCGGGGTAAAGGGGGGTAATCCAATGACCAATGACGAACGCACACTGGTTAAAAGATATATCTCACAGTGTGAACGTCAATCGCGGGATATAATTTATATTTCGGGATATAATATATATTATATCCCATAGTGAAAAGCCAGCCTCATAATGCTGCTGTTTCGTATGGTGGAGTGTAGAGAACCGGAGGTCCTTTTTATAGGTAACGAGGCATTCCATCTTAGTCAATATACAATTTCATTCGTAATCGAGGATTCAAGCATCGAGGATAAATGTAGATGTCTATGGGCCACAGCATCCACTTACCATCAGGTGAATTGTGTGCTCGTTTGTCATCTTTACTCTATAAAAAATCTTTAGAAGTAAAGTCAACCATGCCCCATTTATAGTCGTCTCAAAAAAACTGTATGTACTCAATTCGACTGTACCCACAATTTTTTTTTATATATTACAGTACGTACGGATAAATAATGGGATTAGAAATAAGGGCTCATCGAGCCGTGCCGTCAACATGCACAGTAGCAATAGTAAAACCCGCTAATAACGTTTTATCGTTAAAACGTTATATTGTTCGGTTAATCGATTGTTTTATGAATGGGAAAATATTGGAATAGTATTATATACCCAAGTATTAATTATAAGGTAACATTTATTTATATAAAAAAATTCTCGAATTTAATTTTGTATAATTATTTCAAGTTATTAATATGAAATGAGATGTTAATCGTTTTTAAATATATATAGTTATGTTTAGAAAAAAAAATTATTAAATATTTTAGGCGATAAACATTAACATAAATTGTTATAATAAATTTTAATAAATATTAAAAAAATTTAAAATTTATATTGTTTATAAATAATTTAAATTAATTTAAAATTCATTTAATCTTTTATTAAAAATATTTAATAATAATTTAAATTTAGATATAATGATAAAATTACTACACAATTAAATAAAAATAATTTATTATTTGATAGTTTAATAAAAGGAATTCGGCAAAAATTTATATTCACTTGTTTATCAAAAATATGTCTTTTTGATAAATAATTTTAAGCCTAATCTCTATTTGTTCGTAAAGTTTTATTACAATCGGTTCAGCCATTTAGAAGATTAGGAGTGACAAACAAAAATTATAAAACTGGTTGCTCATATCTCATTAGCATGCAAATATTTTATACAAAAATATAAAGTTAATAATAGTTCACAAATCAGCGAAACCGGACTATTTTTTTTTGTAGTTTATGGCATTTTGTTATCGTCGATTCCAATGACAAGTTGGACTGAAGCACGCACAACGTACGAAAAACGCATATCGCAAAGTAGTTTTTTTGCAGTCTTTACCGGCGGTCGTGAGTATATATAACCACAGTGTGCGACCGAGAGGTGGATAGAGCCATTTTAATCCCACTTTTTAACCGCACGGGTAGTACACATTATTTTTATAATAAAGATAAGGATATATATTAAGGATGGTCCTATTAAAATATGAAGAAAAAATCCACCCGGGGATTCCTAGGTAAAAACGTAGGGTGAAATATTTAATGTGACTATTTAGACAACATTCTAGTTCTTTTCTTGAAGTTTTTACATTGCATAATCCACTCGATAGGGTCCAAAAATTAAGTTTAAAAAAGTTAAAACCAACTTCAAACAACTAAAAAATAATTAAATAATTTTCACATAATTTAATAGTTTCTGAAGTCGGATGTTTAATTATTTAACACACTATGTCTTCGCAGCGACTTGAGAAGCTGTTAAATGGTGTGAAATACTGGAATGATGGCTACTTCAGCTCACGAAGATCATAGATGTGTTTTCACCTCGAGGACTTACATGAAATGCCTGTAGTTATACTTTACTTTTTTTTTAGTGGAACAGGTAACAAACCAGCATACGGCATAAGTTAAAGATCAAGGTTTTGGTGTATTATGTACATTGGCGTATGCAACTTACTACTAGAGGTAGATTATTCCAAAGTTCATCATTATCGTTATCATTACCATAATTACAGTATTAAATCCCCCATAGATGTCCTCATAGGACGGGTGAATATTTGCCAATGTTGCTATGGCATTTACAATTGACAAGCGGGCTGATAAACACATTTTTTTAAATTTTTAATTGTTATCAGAAAGATGCTGGTGCTCATGTTTTATTTCCCACTGCCTCTTACTTGGATTATCTTACGCCTCCATTAAACTAAGTTAAAAATTTAAAATAAAAATATTATGTACATACGTGCAACGGCCAACTCATTCTTCTCTACGCTAACGTTTTCATACGGTGGGTCTTTAACATCTTCAGAAGGGAATTTCGGCATGGTCGTCGATTTAGTAGGCTGTTGTTCGACACTTGCACTGGTGGAAGACGGCAGGGATCTTTGCCTCGTGGGTGCTCTACTTTCAACTCTAGTATTGTCAAAACTGGTTCTATCCGTATTCTGTATCCTTTCCTGTCTATCCGGTTTATCCGGCGGCCTTTCAGGCGGCTGTCTAAATTCTATATGCCTTTCATTCATGAGTACGTGCCTGTCCCGATCGATAACATGTCGTTCTGGTTGTCTAACGTCCGTTACGTGTCGTTCCATTTGCCTGCTCTCCGAGCTTCTTCCATTTGGTCGATCTGTTTGTCTATCTGTTAATCTATCGTTGGGTAAATGTCTTGTTTCAGGCAGAGGCACGGGTCTTTCTGGCCTGCTTTCGTACGTATGTCTATCTCGATCGTTCTGCCTCTCAGGAGGTCGAGAATCGAGATGTCGGTTTTCGGAATTGGGCACAGGTCTCGGTTCGTGTCGTGTTTCGAGTTTTTCGTGTTTGGTTTCGGTTGGTGTCTGTTTCTCTTCGGTGGGATTTCGTACTGGTTCGGGAGGTGGGGCGGGCAGGGGTCTGCTATTCGATTGTGGGGTGCAAGCCCGTCGGGGTTTTTCAAATGCTCTTGGGTCAGGTGGCACCTAAAATATTAATAAATGGTTCATTAAAATAATATTACACGATATATATAACACGTAGTAGAGCCATGTTGCAGCTTTATTAATGGTATAACTGTACCGCGAATGGGTCGGCTCGAACGGGGTAGGACTACGCTCTCACAGAATACCAGTGTAAAATTGTAGCTTAACGCTGTTGTTTTTCGTATAGAGAGCGTAGAGAACTGGAGACCCTTTGTACTGAAAAGAGGCATACTATCTTAGTCCTCACGGGTGACAATGCATCTGCATTTTTATTCGTAATCGAGGACAGATGTAGATGTCTATGGGCCACAGCAACCACTTACCATCAGGTGGCCTGGTGTCGTTTGTCACTCTTATCCTATAAAAAAATATATAGTATTCATGTAACAAAATTTAATTTATCATATAATATCAAAAATTATAAATGAATCGGAGGGAGCTACGGGGGCTGTTAAACATCTGGTGCTACTCAACAATTTCTTATGTTTACGCGAACACTACACATTGAATAATATATTTTATGTTAGTGATTTTATGGTATTTTATTAATTTATTTTATATTCCCGACATTTCGAGTACTTTACAGCACCCATGTTCACGGAGGAGTGCTTGATGGACGATTCAATCTGGTGCTATGATCAATGATCCACTTCCCAAGCATGTTGATCACATCGGAACGACGGTACCGTAGAAAATACGTTTTTTCCAGCAGTGTACTGTTTAAAAAAAGTTAAAGTTACAGCCTACATACGTCCCACTGCTGGGCCTGTGCCTCCCCTCATTTCTGAGAGGGTTTTAGGGCAAGGAAATGTCCGCCCGCTGCCCCAATGCGTGTTGGCGAACTTCACGTGTTTTTTGATTTTTTTTTCTTATTTCTTAGACATGCCGGCTTCCTCACGATGTTTTCCTTCACCGCCGAGCACGTGGTAAATCAGCGCTTAAAATTGCAATTAACAATTTAATTGGTGCCGGCGGGATTCGTACATGCGTTGCTCGCGTACTGTGAAATTTACAGCGAGCGTTAGCCATCAGCTGAGCTACCACGGCTGCTGTACTGTTTACGGGCTGGCTAATGATAAAAATAGGCAACGCACTCACAATATATTACAAAAAGTATACTTTGACCAACATTTCATCCATTCATTACAGTCTATCAAAAGTCCACTGCTGAACGTAGGCCTCCTAAAATATACTAGTAGATCGGCAATTCTGTTCAAGTTAAATGTCACGCAGTTGCATTTTCATTTACGACAGTACCTACTGTTTAGGCAAATACGAAATATAGAAATGAAGTTACATTATATGAAACAATCTTCAAATCACGTAGACAAAGTGCGTACATAAATAATAACAACTTCTTAACCACATTAAACAAAAAAAATCAGCTAGCTAGTCTTCTCGCTCGCAGTCGACTAAAGGAGTTACGGAGAATAGACCGTAATTTACTGCGCAATGTATTAAGTCTGAAGAGCTCATCTAGTAGTTCATATAGAAGTCTTTGAGGCCTCTCCCATACACTTGGCAGGCGGGATGACTGACCACCGCTGTTTTATTTTTATTTTGAGTTTTTTTTTAAAGCCGTAGAGTGGAGGCAGTTATCATATTGCACAAGGTCTAACGTCCAGACCCGGAAAAATAATTATTTGTAAATTTTTATTCTGTACGTGATTCAAACCCGCGGTTCTTGACCGCGCGACTCAATACTAAGGCCCGTATTAATAAACGTTACTCAGCTAAAGTACACGCACTTGAGTACAATCTTGAGGTTATGATCTTATTAATAAACATGTCTCAAGATGCGGTTTAGGTTTAAGATATCAACTGAGTGCCACACAGATTAATAAACGAAACTCGACTCTCAAGTATGTGTACTCGTACTTGAGTGCAAGTCACAGAACAGTATTCCTAAGTACAGCGTTTTGAGATATTGTTTTTATGTGTTTATTAATTAGCAACGATCTTGAGATGTTTATATCGTAATGATGGCGTATCAAATGATTACGCACTTGAGTTCGTTGTTGAGTAACGTTTATTAATACGGGCCTAAGCCTAGTTGACATTAGAAAGACGCTGCAGTCCACCTCCTGTTTCATTTCCCTTTGTCGCCTTAAACTTACCTCATGTCTAGTGTCTATGAGTCCAGTGATTGTCTCCGTTGAGCCAGTGATTACTGAAGTCAAACGATGCCGCGAATCGGGCTCCGGTTCTAACGAGGATCTTCGTCTGGGCTCTGCATTTAATAAAGAAATAAAGTTAAAATTATTTATGCCCAATGAGGCTCCTCTCTACAATCATTACTCTTGAAAGTTACTAACAAAATATATTTTTTATTTCCACATGGTAGAGTTTACTTAATAACATTATTTAATCTGTGAATGTGCCCCATCACGAAACGGTCCATGTTGCCCAACACAACATATTTGAACGCATTTCTGTAATCAACATAACCTGTACGAAAAGTTGATCTTTATTAAGACAGCTTTTTTTTACGTATCATAACAATATCTAAATAATTCTAAATAGTATTAAGTAAAATAAAATTCAATAAACACGGAGAAAAAATACATTTGGTGGGCACGATTAGTCTATGTGTTATATGTGCGTAGTCAACATACTATGAGTTACACGTGTGGATCCACTATATAATTCGGTCCGATATACACCCCCGCACCCTCCCTACCTTCCCTATGCTTTTTATTAAGATTTTTGTCTTGGATTCTTGTAATTTAAGCCATGCCCTCATTTATCTCAGTAATCCTTTATATTACACTGCTTCACAGTAAGTTGATACGTCACATTGCGTAGTTTTTGGGAGATATTGACGGCAACTTGAGTCAGCAGACAGGCGATAGTAAGTATCTCATGGCGCCTAAGCAGACAGACAGCTTATCTTGAGATTCACATCACCATCGGAGCACTTGTTTCACTGTTTCCACTAATAGTTCACACGCGCAGACATTTACACAAATATTTATATATTTAAAATCGCACCACTTTTACGTATCAAAATCCACTTTAAACCATTATTTAACAATAATACAGGAACAGCAATCTGTCGCCGATCAAGTTCCCGCCAAAACTCTCCCCAACACTTTATTTATGTTAGGCACAGATTAAATAATGTTTTAGGGCTGCAGCATGACCACGCTCTCACAGTACACCATATCGATGCAGTAGCAGCATAATGCTGCTGTGTTTCGTATGGTAAGTGTAAAAAAGAGTTCCATTTTGGTCCTCAGAAGTGACAATGCTTTTGCATTTTGATTCTTAGTAGAAGGGCCAAAGCATCCACTTAACACGGTAGACTGTGTTCTTTTGGGTTTCTTTTGTATAAAAAATGTTATTACAGAATAAAAACTCTTCTCACTTTTATATTATTTCCTATATAAAATCTATTTTTTAATCTATTTTTATATTATCTCCTGCTCCTGCAGCTTTCGGCAAATATGAGGAATTGTCACCGTTTTTTCTGAGCCAGTGCTTGACTTCTATCCGACATGATGGTAAGTGGTGATCCGATGTTGATAAATCGTACGACTTAGCTCAACAAAAGCGTACTCCTCTTTCCTTAAACACACTCCCATTATTCAACTTATTCCAATCTATTGCTGTACGCATGACGAACGATTAAAAAAACCGTTCGGATCGAATGCGAGATAAGTCGACAGCGGTGGACACTGACCGAGAGTCTGATTGACCTAAGGTGGCATAACAGTGTACATAACATTTTACATAATGAAAATCCTGTCTAAAAACAAGAATAAGGGCGCGTTCCCACGACAAGCACCCGCCACGCGCACGCCACACGCGTCAGCACCCGCGTCTAACTCGCTTTGTAATTTGTTGCATATAATTTGATTCTTATGACAAATCAATAAATCTGAAATTGTATAAAAAGCGCGTGCGCGGGGTGAGCGCGGGTTCAGCGCGGAGCGGGAACGAGGCGGGCGCGGGGCGTGGGCGAGGCGTGGGCGAGGCGTGTGCGGTTGAACGTCGATAAATGCAATTTCTGACTTATTGATTTGTCATAAGACTCAAATTATATGGAACAAATTTAAAAGCGAGTTAGACGCGAGTGCTGACGCGCGTGGCGTACGCGTAGCGGGTGCGTGTCGTCGGAACGCGCCCTAACAGTGATACACAGTAAAATTACTTATATTTGATCATGAAATACCTAATGCTGACGCTGCTGAGATGTCCTGTACACTGGACGCTGCTGCAATGGTGGGTTCTGCGGGCGATAGACTTTTTCTCGGCGGTAATGGTGGGGCTCGTAATTCCCCGTAAGCGTTCTCCGCGGTAGTGGCAACGCGTCTCACCGCACGCGGGGAATGTCGCGGCGAAGCTAACGGCGACCGTACTCCCGGACGTAGTGAGTCTATGGTCGAGGTCGCTGCGTTGAACTCCGCCCAGTCCTGCAGTAATTTGGTTTAAGCTTCATAAGTAAAATAATATTTGTAAGCACCCACCCAATCTTTTTTATAGAAGTGACAAACGAGCACAAAGTCCACTTGATGGTAAGTAAATGGGACCATAGACATCTATATTTATCCTCTATTAAGAATCAAAATGCAGATGCGTTGTCACCCCTGAATATTAAAATTACGTGAGTTATAATATTATAGCTTAATGTTGAGAAACAAGCGATATTTTTTTTTATAGAATAACGGTGACAAAAGAGTTCACAGTCCACCTGATGGGAAGTGGATGCTGTGGCCAATAGACATCTACAATCTGCATCTATTCTCAATTATACATCAAACTGCAGATGCGTGGTCACCCCTGAGATATATCATATCTAGTAATTAGGATCTCCGGTTCTCTACACTCACCATACGAAACACAGCAGCAATAATCTGCTATTTTACGCTGGTATTCTGTGAGAGCGTGGTCCTACCACGTTCGAGCCGACCCATTCATGCTACAACCATAATATAACTGCAGCGTGGCTCTACCACGTATAAAAATCTTCTTTTATCCATCTGATGTAAAAGCCATGCATTGCTGGATATAGGTTTTTGAAGAATGTACATAATTTAAGTTCCGCTCATACTCACGAAAGTAGGCAGGTAGTTAAAATTATTCTGATTTGCAATTAATAGCATGTTAAGACAAACCAAACAACACATGCACAAGAACAATCCTTACTATTATGGCTAAAGGTAATATATTTATACGACAAGAAATGTCGAGTAATTTTACCAAATTCTTCATGCTTGGTGACCGGGTTTTAACAGAAGACATGCTGCGCTCCGCGTCCAGATGCCTTTATACCTTTCTTGTTTTTAAACCATGCAAAAAAAGGACTGTGGGCGTAAACTATCGTATATTCCACTGATAAGTAGACCTCTCATTTCTGAGGCTTAGACAAATATTATCAATATGCATTCCTTCCCTGCCACACACGTAGCGAAGTAAAATTCACAATTACTTTATAATCATTGCCTGTCTTATTATCAATCATATATATCGTCCGTTAGTCTCGCTAAAAGTCGAAAATGGCTCGACGTGCGGAGCCGGGGCAGATCGCTTGTAATACATAAATGTACTAATTAGCGTTAAGAAACAGCAAACGCTTCATCCATTGGGAGAGGCCTATAACCAGCAGTAGACTTTTAAAAGATAAATAAGAAGAATATGTTATGTATGTTACTTAAATATTTTTTTACGAACGGATTTTGTTGATAAGCTCTATTTGATGTTAAAATGTTGCCACATCCTGTCTCACATGTCATATTTAATATAATTTATAATTTTTTATTTATTACGTAATATAAAAATACCCAAGCATGGTTTTTAAAAGGAAGCGAATACTGGTCAAATTATTTGGAATAGAAAGCTTCTATGGGATGGATTGGTTTCTTTTTAGAAGAAACATAAGAAAAAGAAATTTAGAAAAATAGGTTTTTAATAACCTATTGCTGTGTTAGAACGACCAAGCTAGGCAACTGAGAGACAGCTGCAGCTCAAACTGAATATGAAAAATTGACGAAATCATCAACCAGTATTCTAATGTCTCCTCTAACAAAACTTGACCTTTTTAAATTACTTTTTCAAGAAATGTTCTATTTTAATTTTATGCCAGTTTAATTTATTTACTGAATACTTATAACAGCGGTATGACTGGAAGTTTTATTAATTTTAAGAGTTTCTAGAGACTGACTACATGTCCGTAGATTTTGCCGTAAAATATATTTGCTCTAGTGTAGCTGAGGGATAAAAACAGACGATTGCTTTTGAATGGACCAAACGCCGCCCAAATACTCTCTTAAATAAACCTGGAAAAGTCCAATACATGTCGACAGAAATGTAAGAGCGCTTGCAAGTTGTCGTTTCCTTATCATTATAATATCAAATCAATTATCATATCGTAGCGAACATTATTATATTATCTATAGACAAGTGTGGGAATTACAACCCACATCCTTTATAGTCACTGCTCCCCGTCGCCGTCACCGGCCTAGGTATTTTAAATCGATGAGGTGATTGTAGCGCCATCTATTCTATTACACTACATCTATTGTTATAGTTAGCCTTATCTTTGCGACATTTTCTTTAGTCGCCCCTTACGACACCCACACGAAATGGATGATGGGAATCTCGGTAGTCGCCATCGCACGACACGATAAATTTTCATTCTAAGGACAGAACCCCACGGAAAGAGAGAAGGGAAATGGGTAGTAGACAGATAGAGGATGGCTGAGGACTGAGGACCGTGTTATGTAGTAATCTCGGGAAGAGAACTAGTTAAGCAGTGGACTTGTTATGAGTTATGACGATAATGAAATATTAAGAAGTAATAATAAACAATGCAAGGAAAAAAATTCAAACCTAAACCCAAGTTGAATATAGGGGCTGAGTTATTCTCAATGTAGGATATATCGTTGTAAAAGAAGTGTGGTTTGCAAGAGGTTGTGACCAGGATTAAGAAAGGAATGCATTGGTGGTTTAGTCAAGTTAAAAGAATGCACGAAGAAAGAGTTACAAAGCTAATTTGTGATGCGAACGAATCGGAGCCGGCAAGTGACGCCCTATATGGAAATTTATCCAGCTAATTCGCGATATATTGAAGGTGGGTTGAAATAAGAGTACTCTCAATCGACGATAATGTAGACGTAGACTGATGAAGAGAAAGGTGTGTCAGGATCGCACCAAATGCATGACCAAACTTTGTGTTTACTTCTCTAGGTGACTCTCACGAGTTTTTGAATATTTTGTATGTACAAATGTACATATTTTCATATTATTTTGTCCAAAGTTTTTTCTTTATTTAATATTTAGAGATTTACGGCACGAATATAATACAAACTTTATCGGTAAAGCTTATAGTTCTTTAGGGCTATAGAAATGTACATAATACATATACATAAACACTCACGCCTGTCACCCAGAGGGGTAGGCAGAGACTACGGACTTCCATTTGGCGCGATCCTGACACACCTCTCTCGCCTCTTTTACATCCATATATCTACGCATACACGCTCGTCGGTTAAGGGTACTCCTAATCTGGCCCATTTTTAATGTATCGCCGATTTGGTCGATAAACCTTCGTCTAGGGCGTCCCTTCCCGACCCTGCCGTTCACTTCTGCAACATAAATTTGCTTTGTCACTCTTTCCTCGTTCATTCTTTCTACGTGACCAAACCACCGAAGCATTCCTTTCTTAATCCTTGTGACAACGTCATCTTGCAAACCACACTTTTCTCTTATTACACTATTTCTCACCCTGTCATACAGATTCAGCCCTAGCATACTCCTTAAGGAACGCATTTCTACAGCATTTATTCTACTCTCATGCTTCTTCTGCCAGACCCAACTTTCACTACCATACATTAAAGTGGGTACTAACACAGCATTATGAATTGCCATACGTGCCTTAGTTGACACATTCTTACTCCTCACAATAGCGTGTAGAGCCCCATTCACTCTATTTCCTGCGTTCACTCGTCGTTCTATATCCTTATCATATCTACCATCCCTGCTAAATAAACATCCCAAATATACAAACTCGTCCACTTGCTCAATCAACTCCCCTTCTATTCTTATTTCACATAAAGTTTTACTTTCTTCTCTTTCAAAAACCATCACTTTCGTCTTACTTGCGTTCACTTTCATACCCCTTTCTTTCAATGACCAATTCATTAAAGTAACCATCATTTGCAACTCGGCCGCCGACGATGCAAATATGACTTGATCATCGGCGTACAAAAGGCATTTGACGGTTGACTCACCCATTCTCAACCCACATTCTTCAACTTTCAAAGTTTGCAAACAACTGTCCATAAATAGGTTAAACAGCCACGGGGAAGCCACACATCCCTGTCTGACACCTTTATGAATGCCAAACCAGTCCGAGTAGACCCCGTTGATCCTGACACAAGCACTAGAGTCCCTATAAAGAGACCTTAATGCCTGTATCAAGCCAGCGCTCAACCCAAATGAGTCCAGTGTTTGCCATAACACGTTCCTGTCCACTCTGTCATAAGCCTTTTCCAAGTCCAAGAACGCACAAAAAACTTTATGGTTTTTAGCCAAAAACTTCTCCGCTATCATGCGCATGGAAAAGACTTGATCCGTACACCCCATCCCCTTTCTAAATCCAGCTTGCACATCCCAAATTTTTCCATCAGTTTCTTCCATAACTCTTTCAATTAACACCTTAGCATGCAGTTTACCCACAATGCTAAGCAAGCTGATACCACGGTAGTTTTTACAGTCCTGCTGCGACCCCTTTCCCTTATATATTGGGACTATAACGGCTTTGCACCAGTCTTCCGGTACCCGTTTCAGTTCCCAACATAAATTAAACAAGGTGTGCAGCAGTCCTGCAACCACACCCTCACCAGCCCTTAGCATTTCGAGTGATACTCTATCATATCCGGCTGCCTTACCTGCTTTCATGCTTTTCATTGCTTTCATTATTTCATCTACACTTATCTCCCTACCTCTCTCCTATATATATCTATAGAATAGATATATATCTATAGAAATGTGTACATAATTATTTTTATTTTATTTATTAAGGAACAGCAAACAGCTACAAAATACAGTAATATCTAAAATACAATAACATGATGTATTCACAATGATGTAGCCCACAACGCTATCCACATATTACTTACAATGTTAAATTAAATTGTCGCAGACGCTGAATAAAAACTTAATAACTTAATAAACTAAAAAACAAGGAGCTAAAATAATATTATTTTTAGATTTTTAGTTTTTCAAATATGGATCCTTTAAAAGCAAGAATATTAGGTGTAAACAAGTCTATATTACCATCATTGAAAAACTCGTTAAAGGGTAGTATCATACGGCGAACTGGAGCATGCCGGTATTTGTACGACATGTACTGACGGCGAACAAGTTACGAGTGCGCACAACTCAACAACGTATATGAGCACGTCTACGAACT